AGGTAGACAGTAGTTCATTTCAAGCAACCTTTTTATTACTGGTCTGTTAATACTGGCTGACATGGATATATACCTCACTTTTCTATTTCTGTTTATAGTTAAAACAATAAAAATACAATTTATAAAGGATTATTATTGTTTCTTGCTGCTGTTGTTGTTATTTTGGCATATGATTTCTAAATGCCACTGAAATCGTTACCTGTAATGTCGTCCAATGTGACAAAGGAAGGGTGCAAGAGCACAGCAGCTTGAATAATAGATTTAGACTTTGAAATTTCAGTTACAACCTTGGCTGAAAAGAAACAAAATGTTTATACCTCCAATTACTAACAATCTATAAAATACAATTTATCAAATGGGGGAAACTACATATACAACTGATTGGAACAAGTAAGTCAATCGAACTTTTTACTATCTTAACAAAACCAGTACTAAGCAATAGATGAAGGAACACAAATTAAAAACAGAGATCTAAAAAAGTTATCTGTGAAAAAACAAAAAACAAAAAACAAAAAGGGGTAAGTAGGAGCAAAACCCAACTGACCACCCCAACAGAAGCCTGCGGCCCCAAGTGAAGAGAAACCCTTAGATTTCAGAGCTTCAACCACAGGTTTCACTTCTTCGAATCCCTTATCCTGTTAGAAAAACGTATGTTCCACATAATCAACAACTTACACACACACACACACACACACACACAGTAACATAGAAATCTACTATATTTGAAGCTCTTTGGCCGAGTTATATTAAGAAAAATTCAAGTATCAGAAAACTTAGGACTTGTTTAGTTACATTTTTAAGTTATGGTGACTTGAGTGTAAATCTTGAGTTGAATTTAAGTTATAATTTGAGTTAAAGTTGTAACTTGAGTTTGTGTTTGAATATGCACATTTGAGTTATGATTTAAATTGTGAATCTATTTGAGTTTGTGTTTAGGTGGGTCAAAACTTAAATTTATATTTAGATAGTATTTTAATAAAAAATACAATGATGATGAAAAATTTTAATAGGGTACATGGGTGGGGTTTTATTGTCTTTTTGTTGTAAACGTAAAGAAAAAAATCATCTCAATCGAAATTAAAATAAAAAAATTATGACATTTTTAATAATAAAAAAAATATTATTCATTAACTTGAGTTTGAATTTAAAAACTTGAGTTAAAATGAAAACTTAAACTCAAATTTTAACCCCAAACTCAAGTTAAAATTTGAGTTAAAACTTAAGTTTAAACTTAAATTTTACAAAAGAACATAAACTTAAATAAAGTTGTAACTTGAGTTTAAATTTTTTTTTTAGTTTTACTCAAAAAAAAAAAAAAAAAAACAATCTCTTACTGTTCCGTGATCCTTTAACCAAACTGCTAGAGGTTTATTATTGCTGTATGCAAAAGGATCGCCGTGGAAGAAGTCAGGAACAACAACAAAGAATCCAGAAGCCGCAACCTTGTCGGCCACCATCCTTTCAAACAGAAAGCAGTTTTGTAGCAGTTTTTTTTGTGAAAATTTATTCTCTTTTTTTTTTTTTTTTTTTTTTTTTTTAAATATACATGAAGATTAGCTTACTAGGAAAATAGCTCATAATTCAATAAGTTAATAGATTCAGATCACTTATCTAATTTTTTGCAATGGCGGCTAACTAATCGTGTTAGGTATCTTTTTGAATACAACATACCTTATGTTTGGGGCCTCATATCCTGCAGTAATTTCAAAAACCAAACGCGTAAAGTTTACAAACATTCAGGAAAAAAAACACATAGAGATGCCTAAATAACAAGCAACTTGACATAAGTTGAGAAAAACGGAGAAACAAATGGGAGAAAAGGGAGAGAAAGTGAGGGTTTTATTATTGTTATCATCATCATCATCATACTTATTTATTATTTTTAACTTTCTTCTTAACCAACATGAGAGTTAAGGAAAAAAAAAATTCTAGTTTCAGGAGAAACTTAATGGAAGTATGATGCGTAGTTACCAAAAACGTCAGAGATGAGAATAACGGCCATTTTGGAGCTGGGGGAACCAGAGGTGTAAACTTTGAGCCCTCCCAGTTCTTCAACGCTGCCTTCGCCGCTGCCTGGATCCATAACTGGTGGATTAGAGCAGCACTGATTCCCTGCCATTCTCTCTCTCTCTCTCTCTCTCGTCAAACTTATATATACTGATGTTGTCAAACTTATATGCATAAACGTGTATATACACGCGACATATATATTATTTAAAGCGGAGGCTTGGATCAACAATCAAACTTTATTATATAGAACAAACTCTCTCTCTCTCTCGTCAAATTTATATTAGGTGCTAAGCGTGAACTTTCCATGTGCTTAGAATAACAATATATTAGGTGCTAAGCGTGATCTTTCTGTGTGATGAGAGAGGGAGACGTATTCTAGAGACTTCAGATATTCTGTTTATCTACTCTTCCCCTTTCCTACACTCATCTAATTTACCTCTATTTGTATATTGTTATTGTTCTCGTTTTCTTTCTAATCCTTCTTTTGCAACGAGGTGGATTCATGATAGGTGCATATAGAAATGTTGTCCATTTTGGATTTTGTTCTCAGGAAGATGCTAGATTTACAATGTTGTGAGTTGGTCCATTTCGTGATATCTTGTACTGGACCAACATCTGCCACATCCATCGCCGTCGCCGCTGCCGCCGCTTATGCTGCCACCGCCTCCATGCAACGAAGGCCAAGAACAGGTTACCTTTTTACCAAATTTTCAATGTTTATACAATATTGCACTCCAACTGTCTGGGTAAATGCTTAAATGTGTATATGTGGTGTCTAACTTAATTGAAGAATGCTTCTAAAAGTTTTCTACACTATTTCAATGGTTTTAAATGGTAAATAAAGATTTGCGTAGGACGCGGCTTGCATCCGTGAGTATGCGGCCATGCGTACAACCAAGTCTGCGTTCAGGCCTAGCGTCCATGCTCCTAGCGCACAAGACCTTGAGTGGGACCTTGCGTGCCTTGAGCGGGCTGTTGCGCACCATGCGTGGGGCCTTGAGCGCCATGTTTAGGGCATTGCCCGCCATGTGCGGGGCTTTGTGCCCATGCTTCATGGTCTCAGGGTGCAAGGCCTTGTGTGCCATGTGCGGGGCTTTGCCAACTAGGAATGGTAATCTTACCTGCGAGTACCCGCCATTAAAAGACGGGTATGAGGACATAAAATGAGGGTGGGGGCGGGTGTTGGGGGCAAGAATTAGCCCCCGATTTGGAGGTGGGCGGCGGTGGGAAAGCTCCCCTGTCCCCACCCCTGCCCTAATTACATATAATGTTACACATGTTCGGGTCTGGATTTAGTTTTTAGACTTTGGCTTGTTATTATTAGAGTTTAGATTTGACATTGAAAAAATTATTTGTTTTAATTACATATTAATAGTTATGTTGTTTAATTTTTTAATTAATTTAATGAAATGTTCTTCGAGATTTGATAATGTTACAAGCATTTTTTAAACTCTTAATGGGTAAAAGAGTAGGGTATGGAGATAGCTCTTGTAGCAGGAATTTCCTGACCCTGACCCTGCTTTAAATTAGACAGGCATGTAAGCAGGTATGGGGGACAAAATAAGAGTAGGATATGGGGGTAGGGAAAGCCTACTCGCCCCCTGCCCCC